ACTATCATGTATGTCTGCACTATGTTTGTACTTTCTTCTACACTGGAAGCTCCTGTCGTCAAGTCAAATTCCTTGTGTGTGTAAACATACTTGGTAATAAAGCTCTTCTGATTCTGATTCTGATTCTGATTCTGATAAGTTAAACTCATCTGCTAATTAAGCTATATTGCTGTCAATAGGTAAGGGCTTTATTTAATTTCAATCTCGTTTTATTCCACATATATTAACATTTATCTGCATTTACTAGGGAGCAGTCATTGGACCTGAAGGCATTGCTGGGTGGGACAAGGTCCAGGATCTGGCTGGTTACCTGGTGGGTCTTTGTGAATCTCCTTACCTCACTGACCTGCAGGTGACAGAGGCCATCCAGCTGTGGACAGCTCTCCCTGATATTGATAAACAGCGGGTCAACTATCAGCCTCAGCTGACGCATGGGTGCTTTAAGGCACCGAAGCGATCCGGAGTCACACCGGGTGTGGAGAGTGCGAAACGGTGTCTGATTGGACATCCTGGGGGCCCAGCACCAGCCGCTTGGTAGAGGCCATTTGTATGAAGCTGTGTGCTTTACACAAGTCGCCGACTGAAGGCTGGAGTTTGCACCCCCAAGTGGTCTAAAATCCTCTCGGATGCACCACAGCGCTTAACAGTCGCAGGCTGATGGATGAAACAATGATCCAGCTGTTTGAGCTAAACCAGAGGACACGCATTCAGTGGTAAGCAAGGCACATTATTTGCTTCAAATTAACTGAATACTTCTGAACATATATATATATAATACAAGTAATTTATTTTCAGGTTTCAACAGTGGCAGAAGAATCAGGAAATGAGTGTCCTCGCTCAGGGACTGACTCTAACTGACCCAATTGCTGTGGATGATACGCAGCCAGGGGCGCGGGAAGATGTTTTCGGTTGGGGGTTCTGTGTGTGTCCGTGTTGGGTGAGGTGGCAGGGGGGTGTTTGGGGGTGCTGGTTCACTTACGTCGGTGCTCGTGCTGGGGCTGGTGTTGTTTGGATGCCGATTTTGGAAAGTTTTCAAGTAGGTATAACTGCAGACCGGAGATCTCCAAAATGGGGCGTGAACTCCAAAAGTGGGCAGAACCTCCAAAATGGGGCGGGGTCTCCTCGCACAAAGACTTTCACCATTGGCTGTGGCTTCAGCCAATTGTTATTGACTTACATTTCAAAATAAAACTTTATAAATTAAACATTGTTTCTAGCATCTAAAATAAAATATGCTACATAAGTAAATATTCTTCTTGAGAGCAGAGCCCAAAGCTCGTGGCCAGTGGTGTTCGGACTGGAGTTTGAACCTCTGCTTAATGATATAAATGGGAATCACCCATGAGCTCTCCCGCGAGCCGTCCCAGCGCAGCGCAGGGGAAAGATTTCACTCTATCGCTTTGTTCCAAGCAACAGGGGCGTCCCGGGGCTCGAAATTCGCAGGGTAGGTGGGGGTAGCGACGCTGGGTGTAACTAAAAAGGTGACATTGTCCGGTGAGGTCCGGTTGGGAAGTTACGAAACAATCTCATATCGCATAATCTTATTAACTGTTTATCTCCAGAACTGCAACTTTCTTTACCACGCTATTCAGCGCCAATCCCGCCGTGCAGTCAATTTCACTGGTTAAGGTTAGGGTCAGGTGTGGGGTAGGTTTAGGGGTTAGCATCTTTTGTAGCATAGTGTAGGAAATCAACACTTTAATTGACACAACCAATAAAATCTTTAGAATCAGCTGTGGGGCGGAGTTTGCACTGAAGTGGATTGGGGGGAAAATTGCGCATGCGCGTCATGTCCCTGTCTGTCAATGGGAGGAAGCCACGCCCTATTTGGGAGGTCCTACCCCGTTTTGGAGTTCCCGCCCCCATTTGGAGATCTCCAGGCTGCAGTTATACCCTTCTCAAAGTTTTTGCTGGGATGGGCATTTTAAAAAATCTGAAATTCGCTTTTGCGCCATTATCTCCTTGTATTAAAGTTAATCTTGTTCGCATTCTGTACAGTTCATGTCTGATACCACGCGCTAGCGTCACGTGTTCATGAGGATTAGGCTAATCATCCCATATAGAAAACATCACAAGTAAAATTAATCATGTTTATAAAGATAAACATGGGTTTATTATGGCCCACTTACAATTTACATTTCAGAGATCATTACAAATAAATTATTAAATGCTAAAACTGAATAAATTTAAATGAACAAACTTGGCGTTGCATTTGCAACCATGTGAAAACAGGGGGTGCTGCAGCCCCCTCAGCACCCCTACTTCCCGCGTCCCTGTACGCAGCTTCCTCTGCTGAGGGAAAAACTGGATGAAGCGCCATCGACATCAGGCCCAAAACATCAATTTATCCTTCCGCCAATTCGAGAAGGACAGGTTCCTCTTCTGCGATCAGATCAACAGCCCGCTGCTGCCACCGGGAAGTGCACCATCACACCTGCCCCCACAGCATCAGGAGTTGTGCAGCCCATTTCATCACCACTTCACACACACAGACACACACATATATATATATATGTGTGTGTGTGTGTGTGTGTACTCATTTCAATATTTGTGTGTATTCATTTTAATAAAACATTTTACATTTGAAGTGTCTTTTGATCAGATAAATTCAATCTGATAAATCATATCAATCAAATCATATCCCACACAAAAAACACACATATTTGAAGAAACATTTTTATTCATTTTATTTAACCATAAACATAAACATGTAATATGTTTTTTTTTAATAATATACACAAAATAATAAAATATTTTTTCAGTTCTTGAATATTTATCTATATTGCAGTCCCTAATAATATAACAAACCCAGAGCACTGATATTCAGAAACACGAAAACATTGGAGGATGCGGGCATCGATCCCGCTACTTCTCGCATGCTAAGCGAGCGCTCTACCATTTGAGCTAATCCCCCTGCTGGCCTTTAGATCATACTCATGCCATATAATCCATCACGTACTTCATCCATGCTGGATTCAAACTCATTGTTCAATAACAATAAACTTTGTGATGAATAATAGCCTATAATGAATGATTTGGCAATCAAAAACAACACAGATTTTCGCGGAATAAATGTATCTGAATAAATATATTTTATTCATTTCATTTCCGGTAAGGATCAGCCAGCCAAAATAAAAGCTATAATACAATGTTTGATTTTCGAAGGTGCTGCTCATGTGAACCAGCTCATTACGTCTTCTTATTAATATTTTTGTTGCTGACAAATTTGTTTCTTCACTGTGGTAAAATCGCTCTTCAGAGCATATAATACCTCGGCATATCATAATGAAATAAAAGTATACAAAGTTTTCAGTACCTTTTTGGTTTTAGTGGGTTCCGAAGGGTTTATGTATAAAGTCATTTATAAAATGTAAGAATTTTGTTTGGAAAAGTGTCCACTTGTTTTTATGTATATGGTATTATCTAAATAAAACAAGTAATTGAATAATGGATGTTCGCTACACACAAAAATGACATTACATGGGACTAAAATAAGGAAGAAACTTTAATTCACAACTGAATTTAGTAAACCAGAAGAAAACATACCAATGCTCATAATAATAATAATTATCCACAAGTAATCCACATGAATCCAGTCTATCAATTAACATCTTGTGAAGTGGAAAGCAGTGTGTTTGTAAGAAACAAGTCCTCCATCCATAATATTGCTTTCTCAAAAAAAAATTTGTTCTAAACCTGTATGATTTTTTTCTTCTGTGGAACAGAAAAATAGTTTTAAAGGAAGTTTTGAAGTATGCTGCCCTTGCATACAATAAAAGTGGATGGAGACTCAGCTTGTCGAGCCCCAAAATGAACAAAAAAGCCACAAAAGTAGACCATAAAACTCATGCAGTGTATTCCAAGTCTTCCAATGCTTTATGCTTTGTAATTTTGGGTGAACTATCCCTTTAAGGATTAATTCATTATACATTATGTGATATATACCGGTACTTATAACACACTCTCTCTTTCTTCACAGCATTGTGCATCACAATACTCTGAGCTCCTGGAGACAACTGAGGCCCCAAAGTGAGTCCACTTTCTGTTCATTTGCCTTCCAACATCCACTTCCTTTCTGACAGCACTTAATGGTGCACTTTTATGTCTGCACGTTCACAGGAGAAAGCGAGGTGAAAAAGGGGAGGTGGTTGAGACGGTGGAAGACGTTATTGCAATGGCAAAGCTGAATTTTCAGCTTTTCATCATTACTCCAGTGGCACATGATCCTTCAGAACTCATTCTAATATGTTGATTTCTTATTATTATCAATGCTGAAATGGTTCTACTGCTTAATATTTTTGTGAAAACCGTGAGACATTTTTTGAGGATTCTTTGATAAATAGAAAGCTCAAAAGATCTGCATTTATTTAAAAATAGAAATCTTTGGCAACATTATACATGTATAGTCATGCATAGTTAATGCATCCATTGTAAATAAAAGTATACCAAAAAAATTCTCTCTTTTGAACAGTAGTGTTATATAGTTTATATAGTTTACTTGTGTCGTAACTATGATTTATGATAAAGTGACAGAAAAACAAAAGCAGGGCTCCTATGGTTCTAAAAAAAAAGCTCAAAATACCAGGGAATGCCAGAAGTGTTATTTTCAGGTATGAAAAAACATGAAAATTAATCAAATATTAAAAGGTCATGAAAAAAAAAGCATTCATATTTCTATAATCAATATAAATTTGCTCACATTCTGTATGCTTAAAATAAATCATAGTCATTAATATAAATTATTTCTTTGGCTCTTTGTGAAAGCAATCGCTATAAAAATAAACATTTTAAAAGTCCTTTTCCACAATGACGTGGAAACGTCATGAAGTGTGGAAACTCTGTAAAAGTGATGCAGCTGTTTCTTTCTTACACATAAATCTGAGTGGTTTTGTTTTCAGTGTGGACACACAAATTTCTTGTATCATGCCTGTTTATGACTGTTGGATTGTTCAGAATTTTTTTTGGAGTCAAATCTAAAGAAAATCCTTGTTGCAGGCAGTTGAGGGAGAATCTCCGTCTAGTCAACTTACAGGGAGTCACGATAATCAGATGATGACTTCTTCGCTCCCTGCCTCTCAGGCAGCGACAGGTATGAATTCACACACACTTGTTTGTACAGCGAGTCTAGCAGTGTCACAGTTTAGCATCTGAGCAGTAGAAGCGAAGTGACAAATTATGCATCATTAGCATCTTTGTGTTTTCTGTCTTTGTGTATGAGTCATGATATGGGTATCTCTTCCAGCTTAACACCTAACTCGCTCTCTCTGTGCAATGTGTGTGTGTGTGTGTGTGGGGGGATACGTCATGCCGCACTTGTGTGTGTACGCATGTGTCTCAGGTGCTCCCACACTGTCTCGTCTGCTGGAAGCTGGCCCCACCCAATTTCCCTCTCAGCTGAGCTCATTGGCCACTGCAGACTCCGCCCTCAGCGCTGCCACCTCTGCAGTGGACACCGCTGCCCCGCTCGGCACAGGTCTCTAGACTGTAGACACTGTCTTATCCTTCTCCCAACTTTAGATCATAGCTGATGTGTTAACTATTTTGTACCCTTGCTCGACTGTCTCTTGTTTGTTTGGTTTGTTGGAACACAAATGTTTGTCTAAATGCACTGTCTAAAGTGGGTTTGATATGTGTCTAACACTTTAAACAGGAGGTGATGGAGCCCCCATGGCTTCAGTGGATAATAAGGAGGCAGTTTTAGAAATGGCAAAGCTGAAATTTCAGCTTTTTATCATTACTCCAGTGTCACATGATCCTTCAGAACTCATTCTAATATGTTGATTTCTTATTATTATCAATGCTGAAATGGTTCTACTGCTTAATATTTTTGTGAAAACCGTGAGACATTTTTTGAGGATTCTTTGATGAATAGAAAGCTCAAAAGATCTGCATTTATTTAAAAATAGAAATCTTTGGCAACATTATACATGTATAGTCATGCATAGTTAACGTATCCTTTGTAAATAAAAGTATACCAAAAAAATGATCTCTTTTGAACAGTAGCGTTATATAGTTTATATAGTTTACTTGTGTCGTAACTATGATATATGATAAAGTGACAGAAAAACAAAAGCAGGGCTCCTATGGTTCTAAAAAAAACCTCAAAATACCAGGGAATGCCAAAAGTGTTATTTTCAGGTATGAAAAAACATGAAAATTAATAAAATATTTTAAAAAAAGCATTCATATTTCTATAATCAATATAAATTTGCTCACATTCTGTATGCTTAAAATAAACCATAGTCATTAATATAAATTATTTCTTTGGCTCTTTGTGAAAGCAATCGCTATAAAAATAAACATTTTAAAAGTCCTTTTCCACAATAACGTGGAAACGTCATGAAGTGTGGAAACCCTGTAAAAGTGATGCAGCTGTTTCTTTCTTACACAAATCTGAGTGGTTTTGTTTTCAGTGTGGACACACACATTTCTTGTATCATGCCTGTTTATGACTGTTGGATTGTTCAGAATTTTTTTTGGAGTCAAATCTAAAGCAATCTAAAGAAAATCTTTGTTGCAGGCAGTTGAGGGAGAATCTCCATCTAGTCAACTTACAGGGAGTCACGATAATCAGATGATGACTTCTTCGCTCCCTGCCTCTCAGGCAGCGACAGGTATGAATTCACACACACTTGTTTGTACAGCGAGTCTAGCAGTGTCACAGTTTAGCATCTGAGCAGTAGAAGCGAAGTGACAAATTATGTATCATTAGCATCTTTCTGTTTTCTGTCTTTGTGTATGAGTCATGATATGGGTATCTCTTCCAGCTTAACACCTAACTCACTCTCTCTGTGCAATGTGTGTGTGTGGGGGGATACGTCATGCCGCACTTGTGTTTGTACGCATGTGTCTCAGGTGCTCCCACACTGTCTCGTCTGCTGGAAGCTGGCCCCGCCCAATTTCCCTCTCAGCTGAGCTCATTGGCCACTGCAGACTCCGCCCTCAGCGCTGCCACCTCTGCAGTGGACACCGCTGCCCCGCTCGGCACAGGTCTCTAGACTGTAGACACTGTCTTATCCTTCTCCCAACTTTAGATCATAGCTGATGTGTTAACTATTTTGTACCCTTGCTCGACTGTCTCTTGTTTGTTTGGTTTGTTGGAACACAAATGTTTGTCTAAATGCACTGTCTAAAGTGGGTTTGATATGTGTCTAACACTTTAAACAGGAGGTGATGGAGCCCCCATGGCTTCAGTGGATAATAAGGAGGCAGTTTTAGGGGAAGAGGACCTGGTGACTGTGTCCTATATGGCAGAGGAGCTGGACTTAGAGACAGTTGGGGACATCATAGCCATTATTGAAGAGAAGGTAAATCAGACATGCACTTTTATCATGCTTTTTTAAAATTTTTATTAAATTTCTTTTCTTGATGTCCAATGTTATATTTTTAAATATACAGTATTTAATATTTCATGTTATTCAGTAAAAATACAGCAAAATTAGCAATATCGTGAAATATTATTACGATTTAAAAATGTTTTCTATTGTAATATATTTAAAAATGTAATTTATTCCTGTGATGGTAAAGCTGAATTTTCAGCAGCCATTACTTCAGTCCATGATCCATCGGAAATTATTATAATATGCTGATTTGGTGCTCAAGAAACATTTAGTATTATTATTAAAGTTAAACACAGTCGTTTTGCTTTTTTCAGGATTCTTCGATGAATAGAAAGTTCAAAAGAACAGTATTCATTGAAACAGAAATATTTTGTAACATAATAAATGTCTTTACTGTCACTTTTACTGTCAAAATGTAATGCATCCTTGCTGAATATAAGTAGTTAAAAAAATACTGACTGAACTTTTGAACTGTATGAGAAGTTATTTAAAAATGTTTCTAATAATGTTTATAGTTATAGTATTTATGTATAAGCAATTATGATTTATGTTTGAAAGAAAAGGAAATAGACACAATAGCTGCACAATAGTAGCTCAGTAGTGAGGATGAGCTAGTCTTTCAAGAACAACATTATGGATAAATGATAATTAAACAAATCATTTTTGAGTATGTAGGATTTACGAGTTTGAAAACATAAACATGTTTTCTAAATCTACTTAGAAATGTTTTCTTTGAGGTACAATATCTTACCATTTGAACACAAGGAAAACAGTATACTGAGCAGAAAGATATAAATAAAATATCAAAGTGGATCAAACTAGTTACAGAAATACACGATTATCCATTAAACCATTACTACTCAAATCTTTCCATCTGTCTGATGTTTCTTGCATAGTCCAACAACAACAAAAAAAAAATCATTTTTGTGTTGACGAAGGGTGACGAGAATGCCGAGGCACTGGATGCTGCAGCGGTGGAAGCCGCTCTGTCTCTGTGTGAGGACACGGGTCACAATCTGTCAGGTACCTGGGAGCCCGACCCCTTCAGACCCAGTGGCCCCGAGCCCTCCAGCACTTCAGAGGACTTAGATCCACATTCCCTGCATCTGTTAGAGGGGAAGCGAGAGGGTCTTGACATGTGTGGATCCAGCAGTGGGTGTGCACAGGAGTACATGACACCCTCCACCACTGTCCCCTCTGTTCCTCAAGACCCCACTCCAACAGCAGGAGCCCATTCAGACCCAGATGCAGAGCACACTGACGAGGCCCAGAATGGGTGGCCAGAATCCCTGCATGCTGTGATCAAAAGCGAGACTGATGAATGGACACGGTCTCAATCAGGTACTCCACGTTATGCGTTTACACTAGGGCAAATTAGCTGAATGGATTGACAGTGGTGAAAGTGAACATTGTACACTACTGTTCAAAAAGTTTAGGATGAGTACATTTTGTTTTTAATTAATACTTCTATTCAGGGATGTAACATTTATAATGGTACAAAAGATTTCTATTCTAAATAAAAATCTTTTGAACTTTTTATTCATCAAAGAATCCACAAAAAATCACAGTTTCCACAAAAATATGAAGCTACACAAACATTTTCAACATTAATAATAATAATAAATGTTTCTTAAGCACTAAATCAGCATATATTAGAATGATTTCTGAAGAATCATGTGACACTGAGGACCAGAGTAATGGCTGCTGAAAATTCAGCTTTTACATAAAAAAAAATATTCAAATAGAAAACATGTATTTTGAATTTTTATAATATTTCACAATACACAAATACTGTTTAAAAAAAACTATTATTGATCAAATACATGCTTGGTGCTCATAAATGATTTCTTTCAAAAACATTTAAAAAATCTTACCCCAACTTTTGAATGGTAGTGTATACTTCAGCACACCTCTTCTGTCATGAACACATTTTTAATTTCTAAATTAAAATTCATACATTTTGGGGAATAAAGTCAAAGATATATACTGTCCAAATGAAAAAAAATGGAAATGAAAAAACAAAATCAAGTTATGAAATTCTTGCAAAGAAAACCTTAGTTTGGCATAGTCTTTTATGAGTATTTCTTAGGGGGGAAAATAGTTTTGTTAAAATGTTCCAGATAAAACAGGAAATTATATCATAGACTCTCATGTGTGTCAAGGTCAATAATTTGAAAGTTTTAAGACAAGACAATGATAGTTTAGTTGGTAAAATGTCAAGTGGTGTGACCTCCCAAAAACCATATTTATAAGTAATAAATCATAATATTTATTTAAAAAAAATACCTGAAACGTGTATTTAAAACATTGCGTAAAATAACGACAAGATGTTTACATTCAAGTCATTAAATTTAAACCTTTTTTAACCCATATGAAACCAACAAGAATACGAAGAGTACATTTCTAAGAACATGAATTTGAAATTAAAATTGTAAAATATTATTCCTCTTCTTTATTTTGGACACTCTTATGTCACTGACCCCGGTTGCATGTGATAATACGTTAACTTGAACCCTAGTTTGCACGCACACCCTGGAAACACGATTTTGGCAGAAACTCACAGATGTTCCATTCTTTTCCAGATACACGGTCAGAAGATGACCCTGTGATAAAACAGCACTCAAAGGTGTGGTGATGCTGTGACTGTGTGCATACGCTAACACATAATGTACCACCCACGAGTACATATAGGCCCGGAAACCATTACCTCTGCCCTTTTTAGTATTTGTTTTTACACTCCTCGTTAACAGAAAGTGAAAGAGGAGGAGGAGGCCGTGAGTGATGCGGAGGAGGGCAGTGTGTCGGAGATGAAAGCTGGATTAGAAGGGGATGGAGTCGAGGATTGTGGGGGAGAAGAGGATGGAGACGGAGTTTATCTCTCAGAGCCAGAGGGGGAAACAGAGTTGGATCCTCCGGCCAGCGAGAGCGAGGACGGCTACAGCATGCACACGGCATCCTCTTCTGTACAGCTCCACACAACTGCAGACTCCATTCCCAGCAGCCCTGCCTCCTCACAGTTGTATGTGCCAAAACTACACATAATTGTGACCCTGGACCACAAAAGCAGTCTTAAGTCGCTGGGGTATATTTGTAGCAATAGCCAAAAATACATTGTATGGGTCAAAATGATTGATTTTTCTTTTATGCCAAAAATCATTAGGATATTAATTAAAGATCATGTTCCATGAAGATATTTTGTAAATTTCCTACTGTACATATATTAAAACTTAATTTTTGATTAGTAATATGCAATGCTAAGAACTTCATTTGGAGAACTTTAAAGGCGATTTTCTCAATATTTAGATTATCAAATAGTTGTATCTCAGCCAAATATTGTCCTATCCTAAAAAAAACATACACCAATGGAAAGCTTATTTATTCAGCTTTCAGATGATATATCAGTTTCGAAAAAATTGACCCTTATGACTGGTTTTGTGGTCCAGGGTCACAATTAAAGGGATAGTTCACCCAAAAATGAAAATTTGACGTTTATCTGCTTACCCCCAGGGCATCCAAGATGTAGGTGACTTTGTTTCTTCAGTAGAACACATTTGATGATTTTTAACTCCAACCGTTGCAGTCTGTCAGTCGTATAATGCATGGCAATGGTAACAAAATCTATGAGAGTAAAAAAAACATGCACAGACAAATCCAAATTAAACCCTGCGGCTCGTGACGACACATTGATGTCCTAAGGCACGAAACGATCGGTTTGTGCCAGAAATCGAACAGTATTTATATCATTTTTTACCTCTAATACAGCACTATGTCCAACTGTCTTTGGGCCCGCGCACGGCATCCGGTGCGTGAGGTGTGTACATGCTCTGGCGTAGTTTACGCAAGCGCCGGAAGTGATCTCTCGCGCATATATGTCACTCATTGTTTACACAGTGCACAGTCATTGTAGGTACGACGGCTAATCAAAATGGTACTTACTTGCGCTTATCCAGATTGTTCAAACCGGCTTAAAACTAAAAGATTACGTTCTCTCGTGCGAACTCAATCGGGAGTGGTGACTTTCCACGTATTCCAAACTTCTGAGCCTGCTCGCCTGAAGTTATGGTTGATTGCTCTTCGGCTGGATATCAACACATTTTTACAGGTATTTTGAAGAATGTTGATAACTAACAGTTGCTGGTAGCCATTGACTTCCATAGTAGGAAAAAAAAATACTATGAAAGTCAATGGCTACCAGCAACTGTTTGGTTATCAACATTCTTTAAAATATCTTCTTTTATGTTGAGCAGAAGAAGATTTTTTATTTTGGGGTGAAGTTAGAGCCAGTCACTTTTTTGAGAAATCACCTTTTTGTTTACTGGAGACTACTGGCAATTTTTTATATACCATAATTGTCAGATTTTATGTTCTGTTTAACATATATTTAAAAGTGATCTGGAAAAGCTACTGTAAAAATAGGGGGGGAAAAGTGACTTGCTTTAAAGTGACTTTGACTCATTGTCTTTCTGCAGGATGGGGGCACCAGGGGACGACGCTGCGCTATAGAAGCAGACTTGAAGATGAAGAAATGAGCAGCCAGTGGGTGGATTCCTTTGAAACGCTAAATGACTGAGTGATGAAGACAGCTTAGGACAATCTGACTGAACCATATCTCTAACACGCTTAAACAGCAGAGTTCATGAGGGTTTCACTGGAGCGTGGTGTTTGGGATTGGACGATTGGACTACCTGAAAACCTGTGCATATATGTCTGTGTTTATGTAATTTTGTGAGGTGTGTGTTGGGTAGTACTAAAGATTTGTTTTGTGTACGAATAGTGCCTTTATAGGTATTGGTGAATGACCGGTGTTGTGCCCAATTCTGCACCCCTGCCAGATTATGCACCCCCTCGTTGAAGTCGCTACCTGATTGCCTAATCCTAACCCCTCCCCCACACCTACTCATAAACCTACCAATACTAGGGGGTGCATAATCTGGCAGGGTGCACATTTCGGCACTACACCGGTCAAAAGGACGAAAAATTTAAATTAAAATGCCTTCTTATGTAAGAACAAGGTTACGGAAATGTTATCCTGTTTTCACTCTCTGCCATAATGCTGTATTCTTGTGTCGTTCCAAACTAAATTACTTTTTTTTTTTAAGCTTCGATTTTAAATAATGTTCACACATGTAACAGATGAGGACCAAGGACTTTCAAACTCCAAAAAAAATAAATAAATAAAAAAAAAAGCATCATAAAATAAGATAATATGACTTGTGTGCTATATTCAAAGTCTTTTGAAGCCTTATGGTAGAATGGTGTGAGGAACAGTGTAATGACAATGTAATGATAGCTGTATCGACAGATCTTTTCTTCCAGATTGTGACACATCCGAGTAAAACAGATAATCAATAATAAAAACAAAATGTAGGGCAGGATCTTGGTTCAATCCATTGGTTGTTGACAGGATGGAGACAGATGGGAATGCGAGCTTGTAGTTGATTGTAAGTAAAGGGCCAGATTTAAGCAGATGATATGATTGAAGGAGTCTGATCGAGCTCTAATTCACCGGAAGATTGGGCTGAGACATTTTTATTAAAATGATGAGATCAAAAAACTAAAAAAATCACCTATTCCTGACAATCTGTTTTTGGTCAATAATTAGTGAATTCCGCATATAAGCATACAACTTTTGAGAATCACAGACCACAGAGAAACCATGTTTGATTAATGGTTTATTTAAGCAGCACAAAAACGCACTCAATCCAAACAAAACTTCCAGCAGTTTGTGGACTGCATGGAAACAAGATCAGAATACCACCACTGGCACAAACTCTCCACGTCACATCCAACTCTCTATTTCATCCCGAATGAGTGGACGCTTACTGTAGCACTTCTGAACATCTTAGCCTTCATGCTTAAATTTGTGCTAAAGATATATTATATATAGAACATAGTGTTCAGTGACATGAGGTAAAACATTAATTGTAGTTCAAAACAGATGCTCAGTAACTGTTATTTGCCTAGTTATAATTACGGATATTAAACTGTGCCAGTAACACCTTCGAACACTAACAAGGCAGGAAGAATGAATGGATGGATGCATGCAATAACAAGAGAAGTTGAGACAAATAAAGTGCCAAAATATAAATCAAACACTGCAGATTAATAAATCCGAGGTAATGGCATTTAGCATTTCTGTCAACATTTTTACCTTCTTCACAAAAAAAGACATTGCTTAAAAACAGTTGCCCAATACCTTTAAATGTCCAAAACATACAGCACGGTAACAAAGGACCAAAAAACTAATTTAATGTACACAAGGGGCTTTTTTTTAGTTGCTACGTTCAGAGAGCTTTGAAAAGCTGTAGTGGTCTATATCCCTGTTTTTGAGAACCGTTTGTTTCCAAAAACAAAAAATTTGCTTTCTATTAAAAGTTGTTGTCAAATGTAATTCACAGCACAAATTCAGAAAAAATAAATTAAATATGTTATTAAATAAGTTAAATTCCTATTAACAATAAAGCTTAAATGCAACTAATAAACGACAAGCACTAGCTGTAATCCTGTCGGCCAGCCTGGATCTGGTGCTCCTTAATGTAAGGTAAAATATATACCAGGCGCTTGCACAAATTAACCTCACACACACGCAGTTGTGCATCGCAGCTGAATCAGATGAGACAAAAGCCATCAGACTTCACCCTATTCATGGATGAAAGGCACAAATGCTCAAGGGAAAATCAGCTTGGGTTCCTGCGATATCACATCTCTCTCTTTCTTTCTCCTTTCCAAAAAGGTGACCCACCCAAGTAAATTGAAATATATAACCAATACTAAAAGCTCTTTGATTAGGCAGACCATGCAGTCTGGGAGGGCGACGCTGCCTCAGTCTCCTCTCTGTCGTCCCATGAAGCGGTGCAGCTTGTCACAGTGATCCAACTTCATGGTCTCAGCCTTCTGCTTCAGCCGCTCGTCTCGGTACAGTTGGCCCAGATTAGCTAGATCAGATTCTGAAACAAAACAACATAGCTTTAGTAATACAGGGGTTTATATTACAGAGTCATAACCTAATGGATGAGAAGACATCTTACTCTGTTGCTTCTCTTTCCAGCAGCTGCTCTGTAGATGGTCAATATAGTCGCTCTCAATAGTCTTCTCCAGCTCTTCCAGGGCAGCACCGCGGTATTCGTTCTCAAAACCCTTATCCACATAGTATGGCACACCCATGTGCTGGGTTTCTCTGGACACCACCAACCCCATGGACCTGTGAGACAGAGTATATGTCAGTGCCCGGTTGCATAAAGCACCTTAAGTATGTGACTTAAGGCATGATTTCCCCTTACCTAAGGGAATGATTTAAGGGTGTTGCATATAATCCCTTAAACACGTCCCTTAGCAAAGGGAAACCGTTAAGTGTTTCACGACAGCGGCCCAGGTTTTGCCATTAAAAAAAATCGACTGCTGCCACAGTCACGTCATTTGTTAATGCAACATGGATAAGGAAAACAAAAAAAGAAAACCAAATATGAAAGAGAAGGACCAGACGAGACGGAAACTCAAACTGATAATTCACTCAAATGTGAACATTAAAGCGCTATACACTCATGCAGTGTGTGTTTCATTCATACTCGAAGCCCGAGGGCACTCTCGCGCTGAAAGTCCAAACCGGATTCATAGAAGTAGCCTATCTAATAAGCTGAACTAAAAGCAGAACCGTAAACACAATAAACTCACGATTGCAACAATATATGGTTTATGTGTGTTTTTCAAGTCATCTCTAGGTAATATGTAGGAAAATACAGGAATAAAATATTATGGAATATAAATTTGCTCTCTCGTGTGACACACTCACGTTTGAGCTAATTAACGTTATGTGCCGTATGTAATTTGATCAATGTTTATATGTGAATAAATGCATAAATTAAAATCTGTTTAACACAAAGCAGCCGATCATGACTTGTAGAAGACTTTTGTGTAACACCTAAAGGGATAGTTCACCCAAAAATGAAAATTCTGTCATAATTTAC